GGGTGTCTTTATAACCCCCCCCCCCCCTCGACTATGCAAGGACCTGCAGTCTCTCACTCTCTCGCTCCGCACCGGCCTGGCCTAGAGTGCTCGTCAAAGCAAGGAGAGCATGCTGGGCCAGCTCGCATGGCACCGGAAGCACATCAGGGTTTCTCGCAGTCGGAGGACAGTAGGCTGTTTCTTTTCGAACCTCTTCGGTTCCCGGCTGAGCTAGGTCATGGCTTGAAGAAACGGTCTTGCAGTTGAAGAGTCCTTCTAGTGGAACATCGAGGTCCGCTTGGGCTGCTGGTTCTTAGCTAAAAAATGGATTGCCCACTGGAGCGACATGCGGCTCTAGCTTGAGTTGGTTGAATTGACCGAGCACGTTGCAAATCGTTGCCTTTAGCGCTAGCGGTATCACAAAACACGTGTCGGCTGATACGGAATAAAGGAGCTTTCTGGTCTGGGCACCATGCGGGCAGCCCGCGCACCAACAGGCCTGCACAAAGAACTGCTGCGTACTTCACACTATTTTTCTCCATCGAAAGGTGTAGAGCCTGAATGTGTTGTGAGCAGCAATCATGAAATCATGTAGGTACCATGTGACAACTTCAATCTGCACCGACCGCACTGTGGCCAAGGTAGGACTTGTCCTGCCTGCTCCAGCTGGAACTGGAACCCACCAAGCCCCGGCCGCACGGATTCACAACTGTGAAGACAGCCAACTGCCGACTCTGACTGCCACTTTTTCAGGGCAATTGGATGGAGGCCTCACGGATATGCACCCCTGCGCATGACTAGACATGTCTCTCAAACTTGAGCACGGATCTGTGAGCAGAGTTGTGATGCTTGCAGGGTTTAGGCCGCCCGCATGTTTTACTGGAGACTGGTGAAAACAAGTGCTGGTAGGACTTGAGCTACAGCAATGCCGTGCACACACGAAGCGCAAGAGGAGGGATCCGCACCTTCAGAACCTGGGCTGCAAGTCTTCACGCAGTACTTTGAACATGTGCTGCAATCCTTTGCGGTTTGACTGAGGCACAGAAGAACCGCTTGCACACTTCCAGCATGAGAGGAAGACATGTTGAAACATGGGCTGCTTTAGCTCTTAATCATGAGGCCGGCGCTTCTGAATAGAGCTCCTTGGCCTGTTGGTGCTCGCCTTTCCAAGCTAAACGGTTTTCGTGTTGTTTGTACAGACCACAGAGAAGGCAATGTAACTCTCTCTCTAACACTGTACCAGATGTCAACTTCGAGTGCACTTGGGGCCCCGTGAAGTGATGACTGGACAACATGCCAACATGCCCATATGTGCAAGTACAGCTGTGCCTTGTGCATCTGCTCGTCTAGCACCTTGCAAGAGGGTCGTCACCTGGCTCTGAAGCAGTGCCGGCACATGCAGCATACTTTCAAGTCTGCAAGTCTACGAGGCCTGCATTTCGAGAGGAGAAATTAAGGCTTTTGGGGCGACAATGAGTTTGCATGTTGCCGGACGGCGGCTGCGGCAGGCGGCAAAATCGTATTGAGGAACATATATGCGCAAGCATCCTCTAAATGTGTTGCCATTCACATCATAACGATCCACCCCGACATGCAGACATCGGAACCCGTTGCCAAGAATCCGGTAGCTACCTGGTTCGGCTTCACCTGTATGCCCGCAAGTAACGCCAGCATCACTCGACGAAGAGCGAGGGCGCCGGAACATGGCCCAGAACATGCTGTCAGCTCCTGCTACGTGGAATCTTGCTTTGCATAAGCCTGCGACGACATCAGGAGGTTCTGGCGACCACTGGACTCCATGCACGCACGGCCAAAAGTCATCAAAGACTGCCGAATCCCTTATAGAGCCTCAGGACCTCCCGCTCCTGGCGGGAAAGCGTCAAGCCAGGGCCTCCGCCTGGGCAGGAAAGACTCTGGAGCCATTCCGTTCGGGCAAGCGCAGAGAAAAGGTCCCCAAACCCAGGATGCCCAAAAATCGAAGATGAGCTCGGGAGGCTTCATGCACTGCATGGTCGCCCTGGCCTATGGCTGTCGCGTCGATGCCACTGGTCACACCCACAAGGGGTAGGGACTGGCAGTCAGTCTCAAAGGTTACAAGCAATGCAAGCACTTCTAAACCACGATGGCGTCAATGTTGAACAGTCCTTGCCGTGCTTCCGGTTTTCAACACTTCTGCAAACGCAAATCTCAGCAGCGACCACGCAATGCAGTAGTGTCGTGCAGCCTTTGGAACATTGTTGCAGGTTGCCCCACCCCATCCCTCGCACCATGCCGTTCTGAAACAGCCGTGGTAGAAAATGCGGAAGGCCACTGGCCTGAGCTCAGTGCGGGAAAAGTGGCGCTACACTTGAGGCCGCTGGGAGTTGAATGCCGAAAGGGGCCTTCCACCGATTCAGGAATTCCTGCCCTGAATGGCCCTAAGTCAGTCGCTCGACTCAATTCGGTCAAAGCGCAAAGGCCAAGATGTCAATCACACTCCTCTGCTTTTCGGTGCATCTTCAACTCGGGAGCCCCGCGGATGTCAGCGGCCCAACAAGATGCTTCAAACAGTCCGGATCGTAGATTACAGACTGCCACTGCCTCAAGGGGCTGCTGTGGTGATAGGGTCCCCTGACCTCTCTGTGCAGAGCCTTGGGGACGACCCTCCCTTGCCCCAGGCGGTCGAAGCTGTAGCAACCCCGAAAACGATCACTCCACCGGTGGTACACACTCGTAAGCAATTCACGGAACGCCTTTGCGCAGCGCAGCCAAAGGGAGGACGCGAGCGAGTCTTGGCGCTTTCTGTTTCTGGCAGGTTCTTGTGTGCTGCTGCATGCGGAAGTCAAAAGCGCTTACGTAATGTGGACCTGGCGTGTAGGGGGTGTGCTGCGAGCTTTCTCCGGGTTGATACTCTGGGTTGTCCGGTTCATTGCCAAGTCTCAAGAAGCGTCCAGCTCTTATGCTGCCTCCTAGCACAATGGAATCGACTTCCGGTACTGTCTGGCTCTGCAAAATCTGACTGAGTCCTAAGTGTGTGTGTCAAAGGTGCAGATGTCTGCCTGCCTACGTCCGCTCACCCAGTTTTGGGGAGATGCTCCACCTATCTGTACAGGTACCGGTCTCCCAAGAGTTAGGGAGACCACGGCTACTGGAGCCTAACCAGTGCGGCAGAAAGAGATCTCACAATCGCTCATCTTCTGCTTTCACCTACTTTATCTTGGGACAAAATGATCTTTGCTCTAGCTGCGATAGTCGACTTCGCGACGTTCCCACCTGTTTACAGCTCTGCGCTTCGTGACGCCCTGTATGCCAACTGCGAAAATGTACATACCATGACCATGACAGGCGCAATCAATCGTGTCTTGCTCGTGCCTTTTCAAGATGTGTCTCAGCCGGCTGCAGCACATGCGCGGAGATAAACTCTTCAGGCAACGTGGTGCAGATTACGGTCCTGCATATAGTGTTGCATATGAGGGGAAGTTTTGGTGCCGGGTTTGTCTGCCACCGCTACGGCTGGCATATGTACAGGCGCAAGATGCACATCACTTCGCGGCTGCAACACCCGCATCAACCCCATCGGCCTGCCAAACGGGATATCAGCAGGCAGCCACTTCTTCTTTCGGGGAACACTCATTTTCGCTGAGGGCCTTGACTCTGATCCACCGAAATGTCAAGTTGATCCTCTTTCCACGAGGCTGGCTCGTGGCAGGCACCTTACGCAGGTAGGGGTTCACAGACCGACAACCTTGAACTCTGAGACTGCGACTGCGTGCTTGTAGTGCTTCTGGAACAGACCTGCTAACAAGAGTTTCTAGTGGACTTTCCTCTTCCAACGCGTAGAGTCGATATCCTATGCAAGTCAGACCTCGAAGATCAAGAGCTGCTTTGGACTTGCCAAAGGTTAGTCCGTGCCTTCCATGGTAGCTACATCGCCATCGCCCAAAGGAACTGATCCCAGAGCTTCTGAGGTGCCTGGGGAGCACTGGCCGAAGTTGCTGCTACTCCCGCTCCCCTGCCCCCAGGCGACTCTGTGCTTCCTCATAGGGCGGCAACGTGTAGATTAGGAGATCCACTGCGCCGGATTCAACAAGGACGTCAGAGGGAACCGACAGAGAGAGCAGAGAGCGGGAGATGTCTACATGAGGGCCTTTCTCGAACGGCGATGCTTGTGCCGTGCAGGAGGCGGCCTTGAAGTCTCCAGCTGAAGTCTCGCGCCGAACCTAGCGACAGCGATAAGATCCTGAGCCATCTCAAGCTGCTGAAAGCACTGCTTCAAAGTCTATGAAAGTGCAACTGGTTGAACCCGGAAACCGGACGTGCTGAGCTCTGCTCCGAGTGTCCATGGCCAAGCCCTGAAACAAGACTTCATCGTCGCTGTGCCAACCCACCTGGAGAGAATGCAGTCAAAAGTATGTTGTTGCCTTGTTGAAAGAATCATCCATTGTTGGTATTCTGGGCGCAGCAGCTTTAATCGTACTGAGCTTTCAGACATACGGAACTAGAGGCTCGGGATCAACAAAGGCATGGCACCAAAAGACGCGTGTCACCAATCATGTCCGTTCTGCGCAGATCGTGAGTGGCTGTCAACAATCATCCCTGTCTACAAGGTCACGCAGGCCTCATGACTGCCATCGTCGTAGACGTTGACGTTGCAAGAATTGGGGTATTGGCCCTGCTGGGCAGCGGGTCAGAAGTTGCTTCGAGCTGGTCACCGCAGAACCTATATGAAGGCAACGACAAAACATGACAAAATGCTGTCGCTCTGCTCGCTCTCAATGACTGTCGGCACAGGCTAGGAAAGTTGTCACAGTCATGGTTAGACAAGCGCAGCAGCTGTACGGATTCCCTTCTTGAAAACACGCCTTCAATACTCATTTCCCCTGCGCGATACTACCGACTGCTAGCTTTCAGCCCATCCTCCGGTATGCCGCAGAGCGTGCACAGCTCCTTCCAACGATGCAGCACGATGCTTAATTTCGCAAGCTCTCCGGTTTGTCAGTCGAGTTCGAGATTTCTCAAGTTTGTTGTGCTTTGGTTTGCCGAGCTTTGGGATTCAAGTCGGGCAGGCAAAATCGGCAAGTCTGGAAATTTTGGGTGTTTGTTTCGGAACACCTGCAACAACTTTCCAAGGGCCAATGGCGGCCAATAGAAGCTCGGTTTTTGCCAGGTTTGGGAGCAAAATCTCTGGCTGGTGCCCGAAAACTCGGAGCTTAGAGGAGTCCTTGTAAATCTCTTTCATGAACGGCGGATAGACCGTGGCGGGAAACCTCGGAGTACTTCGAGCCTGCAGCTTCCATGTCCTGCGTTGCTGCCCTCATTGAGCGCACGGCTCCAAGCCGGAGTAACGGTACGGGACATCAGCACAGTCCTGCTCTGGAACGGCTTTGTTGCTCCGAGGTTTCGCCCTGCCGATCTGCTACATGGAAGTGTCAGGCTCTCCTCTGAAACATACCAGATCACCTTGCGAGGAACGCCGGGGAGCTGAATCCAACAGCCCTGCCAGGGAGAAGGCTGCACTGCGAGAGCCCAAAAGGCACAGAGTATCATAAAGCCAGTTGTGTGGGGCAGAGGAGGACCAGTCATTGGATAATGCTTCCACAGGTGGGTTTTGCAACCTGGCCAAGATCAACCGTGTTGATTGTGTGACGATGGCCACATTACTTGGGCTTCCCTCCCAGACAGCCTCTTCCAACAGGAGGTTCATCCAACGCGAACACTGCTCCTCTGAGAAAGCTCGAAAGTTGACCTCAGCAGGAAACTGAAACCTTTCAGTTGTTCAGCGGAATGGTTCTGAGGCGCCCGCCCCTGCAAAGCTCCGCCGCTGCTCGTCCTGCGTGTGAGATGCTCGGCAGGGGAAATTAAAGGGCGAGGTTCATGCCTGCTGCTTTCTCCCAGCATTCTCTCAGTAACGGACATCCATCACAGCACGCACTCCGCTTGCATCGTGCCGCTCTGATCTCCGAAATCCCATTCCACTGTCATGCTTCACATCTTGCCCATCGTCGGCACCTGTGTCACCTTCTCCCCCCCGCAAGTCCAGAGCTATGCATGATGGCTCCCTCAAGCTGCAAAGCCAAAGTTGCGAAACGGCTCAACCTTGACCAAAGACCTGCAGCCCTGCGGCCTCTGGGCCGCAGAGGCCGCAGAGGCAAGGCACGCCGCAGACCCTCGGCACCGCGCCTGAACCGGATACTGCCAGGTCCACGGTCTTGGCGACCTTTGTAGGTGCAAACGCAAGCAGAGCTGATGCCTGCATATGCCCTCTTCAAGCCGTGCAGAATGAACCGGCTTCCAAGCTGACGGCGCCTCACCTAGCAGTTGCAGTGGGGCCTTCAGAGGAAAGGAAGACGTGAGCAAAGTGCAGCTAACTCGGCTTGCCGTGCTACGAGTACACTGCACTGTCCCCCAAGGCCAGACTCCGTGCTCAGAGCCTCCCTGCAAACTTCCCCCCCCCCCCCGCAGACCTTCACCCTCCCCACGGCACCTCGACTCGAAGAGGCTCCTCGAAACACAGAGACCTGACAGCTTTTTCTTTTAGCTGTAGACGACAACAGTTGGAGCTCTGAGCCCGCAGCCGTGATCCCAGGACCCGTCCCACCGGGCCTTCACGGCTCGGCTACGCTCGGCTCGCTTGGCTGGCACTGCGCTCATTTTTCTGCGGTCCGGTGGCCGGCCTTTCGGATCCAGGCGCTTGGCCACGACGTCTGCCCGCTCGCCCACCGTGTTCTTCTGGTCCTCACAGGCCCAAGCCCGAAGCCCAAATCATGCGGAAAACCCACCTTATGCCCATCGCACTGCAAGCTGTCCACGACTTGCCAGCCGTTCTGGAGCAGCAAGGACAGGACCTGCGTCGAGCGCACGAAAGACTGCGCAGAATCCATGTCATGTTTCAGCGTTAGCCACGCACGCTCTTTTGCAGGAAAACTAGGGTTTTGCCTGGTGTTAAGGCGGCTGAGGACAGATGGGACGCTTTGTTCTCATTGCTGTCGCCACCGATACAACTCACTGCTATGGATGCAGTGTTGTATGCTCTGCCTTGGGCATAGCTTTCTCCCATGTCCAGTCACGTAAAAGTCACCGGAACTTGAGCACCATTTTGCGGCAGCGCTGCAGCCTTCGGGCACGGATTCTTCCCACCTCAAGCCTGAGCCTGCCTGCGGTGTGCCTCTGAGGCCGGTGCCTGCGCCTGCGTCTCCTCACATGCTTGGGGGCTCTCGCTCTGGGCGGATGACGATCTCCACATCCTCCAGATCTTCGAGCTCCCCAACCAAGTAAGTGTCCTCACAGCAGACTCAGACTCAGACTCAAAAGAGTAGAACACTCTCTTCATGCGACGGTCCTCGGTCTCCTCACCATGCGGATTCTCCGGTCGTGGCAACTGTCTGTGGCTTATACAAACGTCATCCAAGATGTACCTGAGCTTGCAAGCCGCTAGCGCTCTGTCACGGAAGAGGAGGAACTTGCATTAATTGCCGCTGGCCGAGTGGCACGACTCGATCATCAAGTGGGAAGGGCTCTGCTTCTTCCTGTAGGCACGGGTCATTTTCCGTCCTGTGAACACGGTCCTCTCCAGAACCTAACTGCAATCTCTCCCCACCGAAGCAAGGGTAGTTCCGTTTTGCAATCGGGCTGCACTTGCATGGTCAATCCAGTCAACACTGGATTGCCCAAGGGCAGAGGCAAATGACATGCTCTACACTTCTGTACACTGTACAAGTCCCAGCAGGCGAGACAGACATCCCGCATTGCAGTTTTGCACGCCGTTTGTTGCACGTCCGTGCACGAAGGCTACGCAGCCCGTTTTGCAGTGACACCGAGCACGAAGCCGAATCCTGCCGCCAATGCGGCCACAGCCCCTACCAGGGCAACCGAAGTAGAATTCCAGTCCTTGTGGCATCTTAAGGCTCAAAAAGATCCTTTATTTCAGCATCCCTTCTACATTCTGCATGCAGTCGAAGTGTCGCAGCCACAATTTCCAAGCTTGCCAGACCGGAACTTCGGGTAGTTCATGACGATCGGAGGCGGGGCTGCGCTGGAGTCGTGATTGTTCTCTGGTGGTCCATAGACCCGCGTGATGGGAATGACGCCTGCCCAGATGTGCTTCAGCTGCTCGATGTCCTCCTTGTCATCGTTAACTCCTTCAGCACGGATCTTCGCACTCACCTGGGAAAAGCGCTCGGACTACAGCGGGAACTTTCAGACGCCTTGTTCATCCAAGGCACCTTGCCATCCTCCAGCTTGAGTCGGAGAACCCTCGTCGAAGCGACCTCTGCGCTGGTCATGGGCCTGGCGCGGGCTGCCTGGCCTTGGCACATGTGGTCCGTGATGACATCCAGGCCATGCCTCTTTAAGTCCTCCTCCGGCATGTCCGTGGCTTGCCCGTGAACCACGACACAACGGTAGTTCATGCTGGAATGCATGTTGGCTCTCGCCAACACCAGACCGTCCTCTAAGGTCACGCAAAAGCATACATCAATGGAGCCATTCCGCAGTGCACCGGCACTCACATGGCCGTGGAGGTAAAGAGATTCGCCTTCTCTTCCGAAGATCATGGGGCTCACCTTTGCCTGGCCATCTCCATCTACATAGGCCACATGTGCCACCAACGCTGCGTCCAAAATCTCGTTGACCACAACCTTGTCATAGCTGCCCCGCTTTACACTGCGCCGGAGCTTTGTTAGCTGGCTCTGTTCGTAGGACATCCTCTCCGGGTGATGAGCACTCCAGACTGCAGGTGATGAGCAGTCAGCGCGGGCTTCTAGCATGGAGCTGAATTTGGGCCCACATGCACCGAGCCACATGCCGACCGTGTTGAAACAACTGATTGCTGTTTTGTGAGACGGCGAAAAACGGAGGAGATACTGTGCTGCAGCCCTGCAGATGTCATGATGCAAACAAGATCAAGCCGGGAACCGGAAAACTCAACCGAATCTTGTCCACTCATGTCTACTCCCCCTCGCACCGCCCACGAATCCCATGTCGCGCTCTGCCCGTTGTCCACGCCTCGATCCTCCGCGAAACGCCCAAGCACCCGATATCGCGCTCCCCGCCTTCTCCGCTCCGCGCACCGTCGGACCTCTTCCTCCGGCCGTGACGCCGTCTCACCCCTCCCCCTCCCGTCATTCCACCACCACGTCCAAGTCAGTCCACCGCTCTTCCATCCGGACAGCGTCCGTTTTCGGAGACCGAGCCGCTAGCGCAGGGGTG